ATTTCTGTATATACTTTATATCCTACTAATTTATGGAGCAGAATCCTTTTTGAGAACCCGGTAGGTGCTCAAGGAATGAAGAACTTTCATGTCTTTTGATGTATTCAAGATCCTGAGCCTGCCACCATTCTCTGTCCTCAGCCAGATGAATCCAGTCTACACCTTCTCATCCTTTTCCATCTATGCCTATATCTTCCAAGTTGTATTTTGCCTTCAGATTTTTTGTTCGAAGTTTGTATGCATTCTTGCCTCTCTCATGTGTCCTATGTTCTCCATCTATCACGTTCCCCTTGATTTGACCATGTGCAAATTATGAAGTTCATCATTATGCACTTTTCTCCATCCTCAACTGAAGTAATTCCTACAGTAAAACTCAAAAACAATAATCTGTTGATGAGTTTACTTGCATTTCATGTAGGAGATTAGTGTATCACAATACAGTAAACCCTCGCTAATCCATCTCCATCTATCGCGTTCCCCTTGATTTGACCGTGTGCAAATTATGAAGTTCATCATTATGCACTTTTCTCCATCCTCAACTGAAGTAATTCCTACAGTAAAACTCAAAAACAATAATCTGTTGATGAGTTTACTTGCATTTCATGTAGGAGATTAGTGTATCACAATACAGTAAACCCTCGCTAATCCATCTCCATCTATCGCGTTCCCCTTGATTTGACCGTGTGCAAATTATGAAGTTCATCATTATGCACTTTTCTCCATCCTCAACTGAAGTAATTCCTACAGTAAAACTCAAAAACAATAATCTGTTGATGAGTTTACTTGCATTTCATGTAGGAGATTAGTGTATCACAATACAGTAAACCCTCGCCAATCCAGTTACAGTTAACCCAGATGACAGACAAATCAAATCAAAATATGAAAAATTAAAAATTCACCTCACAGTTTTGTACATACTTTAGACATGCCGGATTTAGAGATGACAGATTAGAAAATATCCAAGACTGGCTTGAGCTGAATGAACAAGACCCTGGATTTCAGTTTCTGACAGAGGGAGAAATTGCTGCAGTGATATATGTTTTCCTTCATCAGCACAACGTATATTATTAAATCTCCAATTATTTCTTTTCTAAGGTTTTTCTGTTATCTTTTAGGGCTATTTTTTGCTTCGTTAGTCCGGATTATTGCTTAATCTGTATGACCTATTAATCTGGATTAGCGAGAGTTCACTGTATTTCTTTCCTTGAGCATTCCAGGAGGTTGTACAGGTCTTAGAAAGAACGTAATTCTTCCCACAGTTCACATGCGTCTTGTATTCAGAAAGTTTGTGAATTTAAAATCTACAGACTTTATGTTTTCACAGGAGTTCAAACTTTGTAGATTAAATCATAACTACTGCCTGTCCATTCAAATCCTGTTACACATCACTCTTTACAGCAAATCATAAACCCTGTTTTTACAAGCAATAGAATGTAATGATACATCAAAAGAATGACTTGTAGTTTATATAAATCCCCATTTTATTCTCTCGGACATCAGGCATACCATCACGTGCTTTGTTTAAATAAACATGATACTCATATTGGTTTTGTAGATGTAACTAAAATTGTGCATGTACAATTTGAAATGTTTTCCCCATAATGGTACTGTTGCAGGTTGTTTTTATTATTATTATTAGTTGTTTATTATATGTGAGAATTGAAGAACTGACAAACATGGTGCATGTTAGGTATTTGAAAATGAGTATGTATTGTGTGTCCTGCCTGTGCAGAGGGCCAAGAACAAACAACCCAGTGACTTGTAAGAGCCTCATGGACTCATGTTGCACATAATGACTAAAGTTTATCATTTATTTTGATAATTGTAAATAATATATTGCATAGCTTGAATATATAAATAGTAATATGAAATATTCTTTATGTTCAGATTCTCTAAACCTTGAATTTAAAGACAGTGTACTGTGTGATGATGGACTGCTGTTCAGAAGATTTTTTCAATTAACTTTCTTTTCTATGTTGCAGTGAAAGAAACGGGAATCTGCATGTAAATATATTATTAATTTTATTATTAATATTCTAGTCATTTGTATTGTGTACAAATGTCTTCTGAGAATACAGTACATGATAATTATACCATATCATTTCTTATTTAAGTCTTCACATATTTCTGATGAGCACTTTACGGTACACTGACCTGTACTTGAATCTCTACATGTACTGACAGAGTACTTGTAAATTTGTATTTTTAGCTTACTAGTCTTGAGAAGCTAAGGTTCAGCTAGTCAAATTCTCCAGCTTCTGATTTTTGAGATATACAAAAGTAAGTGCAAGTGTGATGAACAAATTTTTGAGTACTGTGTGAACAAAACAAGTGCAAGTAACTGGTCAGTATATTATAAAGTTACATAGAATATAGCCATTTTTAGTTTTAAGGATGAAATATGGAGTAGCTTCAAAAGTTGGAGATCCAGGAATAAGAAGGGAAGCAGATAAGATGGTATTGGGAAGGTATGAAACATGTCTGCTTCCTCCATATGGAACCTCATACAGCTTTTAGAAGTTTGAAAAGGCTGCACTGTGGCTCAGGTCGTTAGTCGCCTGCTTCCCACCATGGCAGCCAGGGTTCAAGTCGGGTCTGGTCATGTGGGATTTGTGGTGGACAAAGTGGCACTGGGGCAGGTTTTCTGAGTACTTTGGTTTCCTCTGCCAAGCTTTGTTCCACCAATTGCTCCACAGTCACCCTCATCTATCATCTGGTGCTGGTACAATAGACCAATAGTGGCCACAGTACCAAGTGGACTCAGTCTCAACCCACTAAGAAGAAAATGAATAGAAACTTGGAACATTAAACTCATGCATGATTTGGAACCATTTCATCCCACCATGTTCCCCAGAACCATGGGCATTCTCAAGAGTTTAGTAATTTTCTCTTATATCGAATCTTGCAATGTACACCAACCTGAAGAAAAATTTCCTATTAGACCCACAAATACCAAAGCTAACTTTATTTGCAGGTAATTCATCATTCAGAAGTATAGAAAGCAAGAATTTATAATGCTGTCACGTGTTACTATATGTGGGGTTTGGATTCATAATTGGATTGGGTATCATTAATATATGTTTCAGTGTAGATCAACTGCTGATCAGATGGCTTGCATTTGTCAGATACTGGAGAACTTGGGTGAGACAGTACATCCAGCTGTTCATAGACTTTTGAGTAGCTAATGATTCAGTTGGAGGGAAGTCTTGTGCAATATTCTCATTTAGTTTGTACCCATGAAACTAGTTAGGCATATAAACTGTATTTAAACAAACCTGCAGTCAAGTCTGTAAAGATAAACAATTGTCTGCTATGTTACATATTCAAAGTGGTCTAAGCATGGATATGCTTTATCACCATTTTTTTTCAACTTTGTTTCAGAATATGCCACTAGGAGGTCCAAGAAAACTTGGTGGAACCAAAATTAAGTGGGACAAATCAGCTTCTCATCTGTGCTGATGAAGTAAATATATTGGGAGATAATATAAATACCATGAAGAAAAACACAGAAGCTCTAATTAATGCAAGTCAGGAGATTGATCTTAAATGAAGTACAGAGAAAATGAAATTTATGTTGATGTCTTGTCACTAGACTGCAGGACAAAATAAACATGCAGACACGTACCAGATCCTTTGAAACTGTGGCAAAGTTCAAATATTTGGGGACGGTGGTAACAAATCAAAAGTTGACTCGTGAGGATGTAAAAGAGCAGATTGAATTCAGGTAATGATTTCTTCCATTCAGTTCAGAACCATTCATCTTCTTGTCTATTTAAAAATGTAAAAAATAAATATACGGAACTGTATTTTTGCCTGTAGTTTTGTGTGGATGTGAAACTTGGTCTCTGACATTAAGGGAATAGACTGGAGGTACATGAGAACGGTGCTTAGGAGAACATCTTTACCAAAGAGGGATGGAATGGTAAGGGGTTAGAGAAAACTGCACAATGACTAGTTTTGTAACTTGTATTCTTTGCTAAATATAATTAGAATAACGAAGTCGAGGATGAGACAGACAGGCCATATAGCACACATGAGTGTAAGGGTGGAATGCATGCAGGGTTGCACTTATAACGCGTATTACAAATGAGCGATGAGCGTGTCTGAAGAAGACCGGTGGAGACGCCTTTCGTAGCAGTTAGGCCGGTCTAGTAATGACGGTGATGCGTGAAGAGCCCTAAAAGGGCCGTTTTGTCTAGCTGAATCTTCCTTGTACCGCCAGCAAGCGCGGCGAGCTCTTTGCGGCTACCCGGGATTGCGAGCCGACAGGTTATGGACGTGAGGCGGTGAGGGCGGTGGGTCTGGCTGGCCGGCGGAGCTGCGGTGCATGTGGTGGTAGTCAGCTGCCTACAGTGCGTGGGCTGGCGGAATCGGTGCGGTACATCTGTTGTACTCCCTTGAAGGCAATTTAGCGCTTGTGTTGGTGTCCAGAGAGCCGGGCTGCAAGCGATGAATAAATATTGCCTCCTCCTCCTTTTATATATGGTAGTTACCTGTTGTCTGTTGGAATGTGGGAGGTTCCCACATATTGGATTAATCTGCCTCAGGATTGATACCATGCCTGGTGCTTTCCCAAGGACTCGGCACCATGTAGCTCCGTTTGGTGACGATAACTTTTTTTAAAATAAATGTGTATGCGAAAAATGCCTAGCGCTCTGCAGCACATTCTTACAAACATCTTATACTATTACAGCGACATCTTTTGTGAATACTTTGGATGATTCGTATGTACCTAATTCAAGCAATTCCTCTACTCGGTATTTCCCTGTCGTTAGTGCATATTTAGCACACGATGTCTGTTGGCTGTCCAGCAACCAGCAATAGTGTTGAGCGTGTTGAGTTGCATGTGTTATCGTTATTTACGATTTACGAATGCATCAATGCAAATGTCAACCCAGTCACATGATAGTGACATCTTACGAGAGCATTTGAAAATTATACATAATTGTAGGAGATATGTTGTGTTTCATCTGTGTCTACAATAATTGGGTAATCAACGTCTAGTTTTGCTGGAGGTGAGGTTTGGTATCATTTTTGACACAATCGAAGGATTTTACATAATATTTATGACAAGAGAGTATCATTAATTTCAGCTGAGATTTCTGTTCAAGCTGAGGAGAAATATATTCCAGTATGTCTCAAGACAGCATAATCTCTGAAAAATCCAGATCATCCGGAGTTAAAAGTACTCTTGCGCATGCCTAGAAGACGCCATTTTGAAGGTGAAACTTTTGATGGTAAAGTGGCAGAAATTGTGATGATTTTTATCTCAATTTTCACTTATAAGTTCTATGTAAATAGTTCTGAAAGTTAACCTCGAATGTTCGAATTGCGTGTGGGAAAGGTGATGCAGATTTGTAGATCTGTTGGTTATCAGTGCGGTGTTCTAACAAATGGTTCACGATGCAGTTCCCTTCTTCCTCTTCTTTATGCAGGACGATTATTGTTGCTCAAGTGTATTTTCTGAGAACCCTGTCGCTAGGAATAGTAAATGTTCATTCTCGTCAGTTTCCTTTCGTGCTTACAGTTGTTAATAAGAAATTTAAGTAGGCCTGCGTACGTTTTATACACTGCAGAATTATGCTCAATATGTCATTGTTATGTTTGATTTACCTATATCGAAGCCCCCATTGACATATTATTTCAGGTCATTCGCTATATGAGTGGATCATGGCCTCATGTAATCAGGTGTGAGAGTGTATGCAAGTTGAAAGAGTACTTAGTACCATTGAGTGCTTCAAGCAACTCCCACGTTTGGGAAGCATCAGGTGCAGAACTTCTGGGTGTTTTTAAAATTACTGGAATATTATGCCAGCTGTACCCAGGTGGGTTAACAATTTGACATACAAGGTAATATATAATTAGTTCAGTTATAATAGTAATGTAAAATCTGGCCATTACACACATTTTTGAGGAAAGAGCTGTTTGCTGTGTTACAGAGATGTATGTCCTGTACTTGTAAATGTAAGTTCATTTGGTTTTACAGACTAATAAGAGTAGTTCTACTTTATATGACTTATGAAGACATGGGTTTAATTTTACACCTTCTTACACGTAGTAACTCTATTGTAACTAATAGGTTAGATAAGTTTGATTATGAATTTCTTACTGTGGCAGTGTGTTCCTGTTGATTGAGAACTTGCAAATAAAGTATGATGTTATAGTAACTGTCATTAGCATGTAGTTGTATGTGTAAATGTGATTAGTAAAGGAGTTTTGGATGGTTTACAAATTAATGATGGTTAGGTAACAGGTTAGAATTTCAGTTCAGAACTTTTTGGAAGCGTTAGAAATTGTCATGTTAACCTTGGAAACTGGAGCTACATTTGTATTTATTATTGATGTATTTTTTTTTTCAATTTGTACATGACAGTCCTAATATTTACTTAACAGCTCTTAAATATTCTATTGATACTATGATTTATTGAGAAAATTTGCAGAAGAATTGTGTACAGTTGTCTTTATTCAAATAATACTTCTTAAGCTGTAAGCTATGTTATGTCATTAAAAATAAACTTTCCTCACTCATAGACTGGCGTTGGCCTGACACTGCTTACAGCTTGGGAAGAATTACTGTGTTACATTGCTGTGACAGTTTTAAATCATCATCATGGGAGTTAGTCTACCTATTGATGCCATTCATGCCTTATTTGTTCAGTAGTCTCTTCAAACACATCTCCTGTTTCCTTTTTCCGTATAGTTTTTTGGGTACAGTCTTCTAGGTTATAATGCTGTTTGGTTCAAAGAGAGCCTAATGATTTGGAGGAACTATCGCTTCCATCATCTTAAGGTTCGAAGTGTAGGGCAGGCGGGAAAGTAAAAACAGATGGAAAGGAAGATGAGCTTGAAAAACGTTTGACTTGCAGCCTGATACCTCTAGTTTCTTGATTGGCTTACTTTTTGAACTTGAAGGTGGAGGTGATAACATTCTCTGAAACATCAAACTCTCTTTGACCTACATGGTATTACAATCCGAAGATAGTCACCTCTGTGAGAGCCTTGAACCCCGAATTTGGTTTGTAATTATTAATAGTTTTAGAAGTTTATTCTCTTGGCATGTTGAATGCAGTCCATTTTATGTATCAAAATTTTGTCTGATATTAATTCCATTTCTGATTCTTCTAATATGTCTTGATTTCATTTATGATCCATCAAGTGTATTTTGCTGTTATATAAATTTTATTTTAATAGCTGTGTTTCTTGTTTTGTCTTTTGCTTTGATTACCCAGCCTTAACAAAATCTTAAAACTCTTTTTTTTTATGTAAACTGTGGGTTGTTCTGCCAGGTTTGGTAGTTACTATTGAATGCTGTAGTTGGGCTAAGCAGTTCAGTACACTTATGCAAGTTAAAAGTTTTCAGTTTGTGCTAAAACATTATTTCAAATTAATTGTAAGTATATTTGTATAAACATGAATGATTACTGGATTTTTTCACTTTGTCCATCGCATGGTATTCTAAAGAATGTGATGTTTTAGAAACTGGTTCTATTTCTGTCCTCAGGTGAGGGAGTGGGTGACCGAACTGATCAAGTAATTGGGGTTGGCTCTTTTTAACACATTGCAGACCGGTTGTTTAAATATTTAAATCACCCTGGGGACCGGGGTTTTTAAGCCTAGCACCCTAACTTGTGCACCGTTCACTTTAAAAATTAATATAAAATCTCCTAATCAATTTTATGAACTAAAATTTTTGGAGAACACTTACCAGAGCTCCTAGAAGTGCTTGTGCATGTGATATCTCTGGAAACATTCCCTTTTGTGAAGAGGCATCACGCAGAAGTTGCAGGTGTACGCAGTCCTACTCTTCTTCTTGTGGACTGCGCACACACGGCACTGCCTAGAAGGGTACTGCTTCTTGCAATGTTTACTCTTCACAATTCTCACGAGGGTATGTTTCCGCATATCACCCGAGAGTCGTCCAGGGGGGTCCACATGAGGTCTCTGGCGTGTGCGAACAGATGGCCCTGGCTGCACTACGTCTGTGTCTGACACAGGTACTGCCGCCAGTGTGACAGGAAATGAGTGTGATCATGTTACTGCCTAAGCTAGCAAACATTCCCGAGGTCAACTACGCAGTAGTTATGATGCAACGTGGCCACACAGTGAGATATAGTCGGTTGCAACATAACGCGTCAGAAAAGGGCCAATTGGCCTGCCCGGTCCACAACGCTATAGAAACATAGAGGGTCAATTGGCCCATCCAGTCCTGAATGTGTTAATGAACCCAACGGAGTAGGTATCTCCCATCCCTCTCATGTGAGGATTTCACTTAGTGGGGGGTGGAGTCCAACTGGGTCCACTTGGCACGGCGGCCACTGATTGGCCTATTGTAGCCTGCCCTGTGTGATGATGATGATGGAGAATTTGGTGGAAAGAAGATTGGCAGGGGAAACTGAAGTACTCAGAGAAAACCCGCCCCAGTGCCACTTTGTCCACCACAAATCCCACTTGACCAGACCCGGGATCGAACCTGGGCCGCCACGGTGGGAAGCCAGTGACTAACTGCTTTCGCTATGGCATGGCTCTCATGTAAGGATGGAAACATCCAGTTTCCAAAACATGTTATTCAGTGTTCCGTAGAATACTTGATGATGGACAAAGCCCAAAAATCCAGTAATCCCGAGCGTCCTATACCATCATCAGAACCCTTTAGAATCTACTAATATAAACATATTTTCTNTCGGTTAACACCACATATACACGGCGCCAAAGCCCAGAAGACTGCTTTCTTCATAGTCACCGCCGTGAAAGCCTCAAATCTTACATATTTTCTTAATGTTTGTATATTATTATTTTGTTAATCTTGCTTCAAATTTCAGATCGTGTTAAGTTTTATTATTTGATTATTGATAGATGAATGACAGCCCTAGAAGTAGTATTGATTAGGATATTATCATTGTGCTCTGATAATAGTACATGTGCATACATGTTGGTTGTAGATGTGCATTACAAAGTAACGAATTTTGGCCCTTTGTAGTGCGGTGCACTTTCTTACTCAGCTCAGTTCTTAGTCCCCACGACTGGATGATGGCCTATCTTTGGCAAAATACAACCAATTAATTAATGTAAGTCAAGAATCTGACCATTAGAACTGTAAAAGCAGTTTACAAAAATTATTACGGTACTGAAATAGGCACAATAGATCACTGTGGTCATGGTGCAAGGGCCAAGAAGGTCCACCCCTTATACAATCATTCATTCAAGGTACTGAAATCGTGTGTCTTAGCTGCATTCAGCACTATATCAATTAAAGATATTGAGATTGATTGGACGAAGTTTATGAGTAGTCTGTAATGTGTACTTTAAGGGGATTTTCTTCACTTCTTCTGTATTGTGGGTGGGGGCTGGGTTGTTTTGTCACTTTATTCTCAGAGTACCCCACAAATAAAAGTCACATTGGACAAATTCAGGCAAAGATTCTGTCCTTGCCTATTTTCTATTTCATTGAATATTTCTTCAGTACGCACACATCTTGTAACAGGATTGTCATCCAGAAATGACCCAGTAGATTTCCCATTAATTACTTTATGGGAAGTCCCCCCCCCCCTTAGAAATTCACATATAATGTATAAGCTTGCTTCATTATTTACTGTGGAGATACTGAAGAGATTGTAATTTGTATATGCATTTTATCTATTGAATCTGGTACTAGTTGGCCTGAATTGCTGTAAGGGGCATCTCTCTTCCCTTCATGAGCAGCTGAAGTGTTTTTGTGTAGCTCTGAGATTGCTGTGTGCACTGAATGTACAGTGTACTTTCAATTAGCTGTACTAAGGAAGGGGGAAAGATGTACTAATAATAGAAAAATATGGGTAATCCAGCAGTAATCTCTTGGCACAGTTAGGGTATGATGGTGATTATTGAGTATTGTAATATTATAATATTAATGTGGCGGTACGCGGTAGCATAGTTGGTTGAGGCACTATGCTACAGGCGGGGTTTGAGTCCCAAATGAGGTGGATTTTTCAGTTTACCTAATCCTTCCAGCTGCACTATGCCCCTGGGGCCGACTCAGCCTCTAACAGAAATGAGTACCAGGAATATTCCTGGGGATAAAGGGCGGGCAGCACGTAAGGCTGACAACCTCACTGCCATCTGTAAGCCGATTGTCTAGAAAAGAAAATGTGGGAGCCTCAACATCTTACAGCCCTATGGGCCTCCACAGCCTGTTACAGAGATGTCTTTAATATTAATGTAATAAATCAAGAAATCTGTGCATAGAATCCAGGGTATTTAATTGAGAATTTTAATACTTAATGTAAAAGTGTATTTAATATAGAACATGTTTCACATTTCTCCTTTGTTTGAAAAATTGTCTGCTGTGCTAAATATTTATTGAGTTATATGCAGAAATGCATATAGGTGTTTATATAAAGTGGGCATTAAAGTTGTGTGATGTAAGTGAAAGTTGAAGTGGCTCAGCAGTGTTTGGTTGCAAAATCTGTTGTTTTGGTCTGCAGGAATGTAATTATGTGCATAATATTTCAGTCATTTTTGTTCAGTGATAATTTATATTAATAACATCTAAGTAACTTGATGGTTGTGTGGGTGTCAGTTTGAATATACAGGTTGTTCCAGAAATAAGTACAGAAAGTTGGAGGGTGAGTATTTTGGCCCCAATTAGTGAGAATAGTTTGTATAAACATGGGCCCAAAAATGCTTCAGTAATGAAGTGAAGCCATTCAACGATGTCCCGACAGCAGTAAGATTAGAACTGTGGTTACAGAAATAATATGTCCTAGGGACACTTTTAAAGGAAACTGAGTTTAGAGTGGATGATGTGGATGACTACTGGTCATATATTTCCAACACCTTCCCCATTCAACAGTGGAACTCGCAGTCTTATTTATAGTGACAGTGAATTGACCACATATACTGGAATGTGACATCTGGTATTCATTTCCAGTGAAATGTACGAGAGTTGGAACTTTAATAGTGGCAACTGTTTATTTACAAGTGATACAAAATAGATGCATGTTTCGAAGTTTTACTGTCCTTCGGGGTAGTCACCAGCATTGTGTACAACCCGTTGCCAGCGATGTGGGAGTCGTAGGATACCCTTAGCAGTGCCTCTTGTGTTGATAGTTCAGATGGAGTGGTCTACTGCCTGAAGAATCTCTGGAACAGTTCTGAAGCGAATGCCACAAAGTGGTTCCTTCATCTTAGGAATCAAGTCAAAGTCACAAGGGCTTAAGTCCGGGGAGTATGGTGGATGGTACAGCACTTCCCAGCCCCATCGATCAAACAAATCAGTCACAGCTTGCCATTTCTGCATTTCCGTCAAATCATGCGGAACCCATTGTGATGCAATTTTTCTCATGTCCAGGCATTCCTCCAGAATGTGAAGCACAGTCATATCCTCTGATCCTGTCTCTCATGCCAGCTCACGCAAAATATGGCGTTGATCACTGTCCAGTAACGCGGAAAGAGTGTACACTTCTTCGCTGACACTTGGACGACCTGGCCGACGCATATCTGCAACATTTTGGTGTCCCTCGTTGAAGGCTTTTACCCACCTTGCCACTGTTCTGTAAGGCAATGCAGATTCCCCACAAGCATCTTGAAGACCTTGATGACACTGTTGTGCTGTACGGCCTCTGGCACATTCAATCTTTATCCAACTCCATTGTTCCTGTTTCGAAAACATCATGACAACATTACATTAGACTGCCAGCTAACACAAGGCTCTGTTCTCGTTACTGCTCATGCACGTGATGTGGGAAGGGAGATCCTCATGTCTCTAGGAGATCTCTGAGCTAAATTAGGCAACAATTTCCTGCCGAAGTAGTTTCCAATGCTTCTGGTAGAGGGTAGGTAGAGCATCTTGAAGACCTTGACAACACTGTCATGCTGTACAGCCTCTGGCACATTCAATCTTTATCCAACTCCATTGTTCCTGTTTTGAAAACATCATGACAACATTACATTAGACTGCCTGCTAACACAAGGCTCTGTTCTTCTCGTCACTGCTCATGCACGTGATGTGGGAAGGGAGATCCTCATGTCTCTAGGAGACCTCTGAGCTAAATTAGGCAACAATTTCCCGCCCAAGTAGTTTCCAATGCCTCTGGTAGAAGGGGGAAATATCAGGTACTGACGGCCGACCTCGTTGGCTGAACGGGGCTGATAGCACGCACCGGTACCGGTAGGGTATGGGGACAGTAGAAATTAAAGGGGGACGCACAATGGACCAATAACTGGTCTCAGTGCATGGGGAAACCCACCCCCTCTAATAATAATAATACTGCTCCATAGAAATATTCTTGACTTTGTCATATTAATTAGATTATTTTATGAATGACCTTGGCAAATAACCAGTTTTGATAGTATTAGTGTAATTACCATTGTTATTTATACATGAAGAATGAAATGGCAAATATAAGGTGGTGGGGTTATGGGGTGAGTGAAGTGAGATTCTGGTTTTAAGTGGCGTTTTAAATCTTTATTTTCATTTTTTGAGTGTCTACACCCACTTTTAATTTTGAAGATTACTGAACTCCACATTTGCCCCTCATTCTTTAGTGGTAATTGCTATTTCAAAAGACTGGGATTTGTTTTCTGTATAATGTGGGCAGTAATTGATTATGCAGTTGAAAAGTGATTACTGTTAATGACTATAGTGGTAATTAACGTATTACAAATTCTGTTCATCTGTTGATTTGCACAGAAGAGACATTTTCTTTCAATGACAGAAACAGTTGGGGTTATGTGTTATGAATTTATATCACTGTGTATTAATTTGTTATGAACATTTCATGACATAATGAATGTAAGATTCATTTACTGCTGTGGACTGTGACTATTTTGTCACATCTTTGAATGCCGCTTTTATAAATTGATTGTAACTTACACAGTCATCCAAAAGTGTGAATGCGTGGGTGCATGTGGTAAGGTAAAGTTGTGTCTATTGCTATTTCCACACTGTACAGTTCACTGTTACACCCACTAGGGTCCTCAGTTTTCACTAGTCATATCTTGGCAACAGATTCATAAGTCTGTCACTTCAAATCACACATTTAAGTGTTCGTTTCACAGGCTAATTCCTTTCTTCCCATTTCTTCACAATTATTCTGCCAACTGCAAACTCCAAACACTCAACTCAATTGTTCTGCTCCCAAGCTCATATCCTGGCAGGACAGTGTCTCGAAACTCAAGTGACTCAAAAGTCAAAGTCACTTTACGACTGGAGGTTTACCACCAGTCAGTTCGTCTTGGCATCAGGCCCCTTGAACCCCATGACCAGAGGTTTTTTTTTCCCAACTGAACTCTTGCGGTAATAGTCCTAATGTAACATCCTCTCTGACAAGAAGATGGGTTTGTCTGTTATGAATACACTAGGCCTTTCATCAAGTGTATATTTTGCACATATAACATGTTATTGAAAATGCTTCATTTTGCACTACACACAAGTCCTCTGTCAGTACAGGCTTTACAGAGCAGATCATGCCTAATTTACATATTAACTGACTCAAGTCAAAGTCGAATTGCAGCTGACTACCAGTCAGTCAGTGAGTCTTGGTGTCGAGCACCCTCCTGGGGCTCATGACCAGATATTTATTACTGTTTGACGGTTATAGTCTTGTTCTTCTGGGGCCCCCTCTCTGATGAGAGGATGGGTCTGTCTTCTGTACATGCTGCTGGCCCTTGCCAACACAGTCTGTTTCAGGTCCTAGTCCTTTGGGACTCGCGACCATATCTTACTGTCTCAGATTCGAGACTTCCCTTTTTGTCGCCTACTACAACTCGCAGGGTCACAGTGGAGGTATTCGACCACAACTCCACATGGGTGAGCTGACTCAAACAATCTTTTTCCTTTTTATAACACCTTGGCATGTACCACACAGAAAACGAAGCCTCTCTATTGTTGAGAATGCATGTTTACAGCGCTGTTGCATAGCAATGGAAGTTATTTGATTGTTGCTTGCGTGTTTGTTGCTGTGGGAATATGTTTACTGAGCAGTTGCCTTGCAGTGGACATCTCCTCTGACTTCACTGTTCCTGCCTTTGGGTGCCATGTTACAATACAGATGTATATAATGGATTTTTTGATGATGAAAATGAACTGCCCATCAGATATGAATGAAACCCACAAAAGTTATGTAGAATGAGCTGAAGTGTACATGTAACAGAATGCATTTGATTTGGTTGATTTGTTGCACAGAAAAGTATTTTCCATTTTGAACATTAAAAATGGGCATATACATTTGTGTTATTCACTTATTGAAAGTGTTTGACGAAGCTACTGTTGAATTTATGAGATCTGTAGAATGACCCAAGTTCTCTAGGTTTGTATCCATTTAATATCATATTTTGAATGAACTTACACACTTACATTGTAAGGTAATATTGAATCATTCACCGACCAATGGGATAGATGGGTTTAGACCATAATAAATTGAGGGGTCCAATTAAGCATTGATTCTGATAAAGAAATTGTAAGTGAAATATGATCATAAGTGCCAATTTCTGGTATTCAAAGTTCACAGTATTCTTCTATGTAATAGTTCAGCTGAATTGATTTAATCTTTCTGTACACATACTTAGTGTGTTCCACACAATTTGTATGAGTGTTATTTAAATCATAGATGTGCATTTTTGCAATATTTTGGAAATTTTTTTCTCCACTCTATATATTTGTCATACAGTGGACAATATCCATAGAAAGTTGTGTCATAATGATACTGAACCATTATTACAAATGTGTAGAATTGCGTATATCTGGAGAGAGTCATGGTAACCAGAGAAGCATGTGCTGTATCACTTATGACTCAAACTGGGTGCTTCCCTAATGAAGTATTTGCTCTTCTTGCCTATGTTGTTACCTTAATGGAACACAATATATAGATAAGTTATCGGATGACATGGAAAGGTAAAAGATGCAGGTTTTTTCCTCCAGTGTGAAAGCTAAAATAATAATTTTCTCATCTTTGTACCTTTTTGACCAAATTGTCTGTCATTAAGTTCTGCAGCAGAAGGTGCAAATTCTTTACTGTAAGCTATGTATGGAGAAATAATCTTTTCTTTATTCAGTTTTGAGAGCAGTCTTGTACAACTATTTCAAAAAATTGTGTGTGGATTTGGGTGGGGGTTGTGGGATGGGGCAGGAGTAGAAACTGGTAATTGTATGTCTTCTACTGCCATGACTTTTCTCTCCCATAGTCACATACTTGGCACGATCTTAGATCATATATCATAGATTCTAGAAAGGTAAATTGTCCCTATGCTTAAAATGACACTGCACCTGGAACATATGGGGTTGTGGAGGTATCGCTCCACATTCTTGACCTTAGCATGCCATTGAGGTGAGTGGTCAGTAACTTGGTTCATCTACTTTACATAATGATGTAAAGAAGAAATCCTGCCCATTCCATCTCATAGCCAGTTATTTTACTGAACTGCCCCAACTATCTCCACAGAAGTTAACATTCCCTTTGTTAACAGACCTGGTAGCTTGAAGGACCCAGAGATAGCTGAGCTTTTTGACAAAGATGATCCTGAGAAGAGATTTGAGGATTTGCGTGAGATTGGACATGGAAGTTTTGGAGCTGTGTACTATGCACGTTGCTTGGTCACCAAGGAAATTGTTGCCATCAAAAAGATGTCCTACCTTGGGAAACAGAGTTTGGAGAAGTGGCAAGATATCCTGAAAGAAATTCGATTCCTGAGACAACTGAACCACCCCAATACAATTGAATATAAGGGTTGCTTCCTTCGAGATCACACGGCATGGGTAAGTCAGATTTCATGAACCTATTATTAACTTAATTGTTTAAAGGTATTTTTATGTCTTGTTAAATATACCCTTACTGCACTCAAGAGTTCGTTCATTTATGCATAGAGCCAAGTGTGGCAACTGTATAGATGACTGCCCTTCTTGTTAGTGGGAGAAAGTTAGGCTTTTGAGATTGTGGAATTCTGGGTTGTGACACCCACATACTTCTGTAGGCAGTTACCAGTGATTCAGAGATGCTTGCTGCTTTGGGAAGAATATTAAAATAGAGGTAGCAGGTTCCTCTGAAGTGATATTATCTCCTAACCTCTGCAGAAAATTTAATTCCTGGAGGATATTTAAATCATAGAACATGAATATGCACTGTTTCATTCAAACTATAATAAATATGGAAAATATGGTAATTTCCAATTTTCACTCATTTGAGAAAACTATACAGAATTTAAATATTGATACATATTGTTTTAAAATTACTTTTGGCACACTAAACTTATACAAATAAGGAAAATTTTATTTTATTACCTTAGAGATTGAGAACATTCCATGCATAGTTCATCATGTGCATTAGACCAGTACACAGTGACTTTCCTTTTTCCATGCCTCTGACAAACAATGCACTATCTCTGTGGTCTTCCTTTCTTATCAGAAGGTGTAAGCTTACTTATAAAATACAGATAATATTTATTATATTCCTGTCAAGACAACACTGTTTCCAGCAGATGGAGTTGCTTTTTGACACGTGTTTCAGCACATGATGTGTGCCATCTTCTGGTCTGGTTTTTAATTACGTTTATTGTGTCGTGCACTTAGCATGAATTTTCCATCTGCCAACCAGGGAATGTGCCCTGTATCAGTTACAGGGTCCTGTGTATAAACAGGAAAAAATATTTTTCTGTAGGTTCAACACTGATAAAACATGCATAGCTCAGTAAACCTTGCTTCTCATGAGGCACTGCATCCACCGTATATCACAGCACAGATCTTGAAATAAATTCTGTGACTGTTCATGTTGTAATGGATTTACATACAGAATTTGATAGAAGCAGTTTATATAAATAAATTTATTAAAATAGGTCTTATGGAAATGGGTTTGGAAGATGTGACCTGGAATGAACTGGTTTAGGATAGTATCCAGTGACAAGCTTCTGTAATCACAGTGATGAACCTTTAGGTTCCATATCAGCAAGGAATTTCTTTCGTTTGAAAACCTGTCAGGTTCCAAGCAGGACCCATGTACCATGGAGTTAGCTACTTATGTTTCATGTCCTACAGCTTGTGATGGAGTATTGTCTTGGATCTGCATCAGACATCATTGAGGTGCACAAGAGGCCATTGAAAGAGGAGGAGATAGCGGCCATATGTGATGGTGTACTACGTGGCTTGAGTTACCTTCATGCTCTGGGGCGGATACACCGTGATGTAAAGGCAGGCAATATTCTGCTTACAGAAAATGGTACTGTCAAACTGGGTAAGAGAGAACTCTTCAGACACTTATTTTTGTAATAGTCCTTATACTTCCAGAAGTACTAAACACTAATTTTTTGTGTCCTGCGTTGCTGTGTCTCCGAATGTAGAATACTGTGATTCCACTTCAAGATCATCATTGCTAGTTTATGTAAAAAAGAGATGTCCTGTTTTTTTGTTGTAGAATGCCAGTGTCATGTATGGTCTGGGAGAAAGATTTGTTCTAAACAATTGTTCTTTTTACATATTCACTTTTCCATTTTTGTGTATACATAACTTTAGATCTGTGGGTGCTTGATCTTGATCTATTATGCATTTAATTTCTGCACTAGTACCGTACTGTTTTTTTATTCATATTAGAAGGTTTGGATTTTTTAAAGTATTGATTGGGTTGCATGGTATTGGGTTTTTAAAAATAGTGTAGTTTTGGTGCAGTCATACCTCATTTGGATTGAAGAAACTAAAACACAGATTTCAAGACATTGGTTTCTGGAATGAGTACACCTCAAGTACACACACGTGTAATTAGTGAAAAATTTTGGCTGTATAGTGGAAAATTATTCTATGCCATAGAGTTTCTGAAGCATATTTGAGGGGGTGTCATCGTCAAATAGTGAAATGTCTTGTTCTGCTACCATGAGAACATTATAGTTAGTGCCCCATAACTTTAGCTGCAGGGAAAGTTAAACACTGTTGTGGAGCACGCTTGCTGTACGCTTGCTGTGGTGACATTCAGAGCTACTCCATGAGCGGAAAACATTAGCTATAACTTCTCTGGCCTCGCTATGAATTGTTCTGTGCGATTGTCAGTGTGCCATGATAGTGACACGAACACCACATAATACAATTGCTATGACAGGTACTAACTAACAAGCAACACAACGTACTATACACCTGACCACACTCCAAGACACTACATTCCAAACTGGTAGTACCCACACTGATGTAAGCTGATAAGACAGCTCCCCCAGCCCTTGAGAGATGGTATGACCCCTCTACTACAGCTAGATTTCCGAGGAACTAACAGTACTAGGTTCTGTTTTCAGTATACGATATGAACCAAAGTCACCATTCTGAAGATCACATTGAGCACGCAGGACGTGTATGTGTCATTCATATTTTTGTAATTGATGTATATTTTGACATGTATTTCATGTTGCAGCGGATTTTGGTTCAGCAAGCATCAAATGTCCTGCAAACAGCTTTGTGGGAACACCATACTGGATGGCACCTGAAGTAATACTGGCCATGGATGAGGGACAGTATGATGGCAAGGTGGATGTATGGTCTTTGGGAATCACATGTATAGAGTTGGGTGAGATTCATTTTAGAATTTTGTAGATATGAAATTTACTGTATCTACATATTTACTAACATGCAGAGAGACTCAGTGTCAAGGGAAGTGAAATAACAGAGAAGTACAGTGTTCAGAATGAAATCAATAATTCATTAGAAAAGAAACATAAAATTAATAAAGCTGTACCATAGGCATGCAACAGAACAGAGCTGTCAGACTTGCAGCCTAGTAGTTGAATTTGTGTGACCCGGAAGAGTAACCTTCCATTCTCAAGAATATGTATTAATACTTTCCTTTTCAAGAAAGGAAGTGAAACTTGTCAAAGAAAACAAAAAATGCTTATTAAATATTTTGGTAATTTTCCAGTAAATAACTTAACAAAATTAGGGAACTAGTATGACTCCATGCTTGTATGCAATATTTATTCAGTGAGGCGAACTTTTAGTGACTGAATTTTAAGCACTGTTTACTTGGCAGTGATGTTGACAACCTAATTGCATGCTCAGTGTGGTTACATTGTGTGACCACTTGGATTAAAAGCAATGTTCTGTTTTATTGATAAATATCTATTTTTTTATAATCCATCCTACAGGTACAATGTATCCCCTCAGAACAACATTAGCTTATGTTTATACTGACACTAGTGTGTTACACTTTCCTCTTGAGCATACTTCATATAGTTGTTTAGCCATTCTGTTTACAGAAATGTTCATAGTGATAGTCTTTGTCAATGATAGGTGCTTTGGGGTGGTTGATGTGGAACAGAGGTAGTTGGAGACTAATATAATAGTGGGCAGAAGGGGGGAAGCCTCTGGCTCTCTTATTCCCACCATCCATGGAACTTCTCTCTGTTGTCTTAGTATAGACAATATGAGTATGTTTATTCTGAAGGGTTAATTGGGAAGAAGATGTCCTGTCATAAAGAGCCATTAATAAAGTGTCTTATTTGTAGTGGCTGTAAATGTTTTAGTAGACATAATTTATATTTGTTGCAGCTGAACGTAAGCCACCCTATTTCAACATGAATGCAATGAGTGCCCTCTATCACATAGCTCAGAATGAGACGCCCTCGTTGAGTTCCCCTGAATGGACTGATGTGTTTAGGCATTTTGTTGAATCTTGTCTTCAAAAGAACCCCAACGAAAGGCCCACATCAGGAAGGCTCCTATCGGTAAGTTTCTCTGCTATCACCATATTTACTTACATCTAAGTTACACCCCTATTTTATGATATTCCTACAAATTCTGCCATATGCATTAAATACAAAATAAATGTTTTTCTCTAAATTCACTATAGTATCAGGTCATGCACTAGGAAACAGCTTGTTCCCAGAAGACATCCCTTTTACCTTTCACTCCACTCCTAATCGTAACCACTTGTCACCGCAATTCTGAGATGTGTGTAATCAGTATAGGATCTGTAAAGTAAGTAAATCTAGCTGAGTATACAGAAGAAAATCTTTGAAAATGGTAGAAACCTGTACTTGTTAGAATTAATGTGTCCCGAAGTTTAAAGAGACCTAGTAGACTCTTCACTACAGAGCAGAGGGTAGGACATCTTGAATGAAAAGCATGAATTTAACGCTAATGAAGTCATCTGGTGATAATTAGATTAAAAAATATTGTAACTGGACCAGTTCTTCACATGTTTCTAAAGTATATTTATATTTCACAGTTATATATGTTTTATATGAAACTTCGCAGTTTATAACTAGTGTGTTTACTCTATGATGTATTTGATTTCATAAACATACAGTACTTTTTCTGGCATTTCTTTGTGTAGACTGAAATTACAAAATAATCCTGCAAGTAAGTGGTTTTGTTCTGATCGTGTATTAATTTGTATTTTAACAAGCAACTTGCCTTGATGTAAGATTTGAGTACTTTGGTCTATTTACACCTGCTCACGCCGGTTCTTCGCTTGCGAATTTTCTTCTTTTTTCTTCTCCCCTGAAGATGGAGGCGATACGTTCCTCCGAAACGTCGGTTAACACAATATCTGCACGGCACCACATCCCAGAAGACTTCTCTCTTCATAGTCACCGCTGTGAAAACCTCAAATCTTACATATGTGTTAAATCTCTTTCAGCATTAGACTCTTTTAATTCTGTTGGCTTTGTTTGTGGCTGTGTTTTTCTTATTGTAGCTTAAGCAGAAGGTGAAATTGTCATCTGATGTTTGTCTGCATTATATTGAAGTCCATCACAACTTGATCTGGTGGAAATTTAATACTGAGGTTCTTGGACTTTAATCATGGAATTAAAATTTATGTGAGAACAGGTTTTAAATAGAGAAAATTAAGTAGTTAATTGATTGTACTGGTCTTGCCCCCTGTGATTGTTGTAAGCTTCATCATTTCTTCAGTGTTTGTAACTATACACCTCACGTTGATAAATATTTTACATTTTATTCACTTGATTTTATACTAAATATGATAGGTGAGGAAGATACAGAAGTTCACAGAGCAAGGGTACAAGAATGTACAGAGTGAATATAGATATGTCATTCACATTACATTAATTCAAAGAGAAGATAACAGTGGACAGGGATATCTGGAAATTTTCTAAATATTTACCAGATTTCCCTAGCCATACGATGTGTTCACTAAACAGTGTATAATGTGAACAACACATTTAATTTTATTCATTCTGGTCCATCACACTAGTTAATTGTTATAGAATGATTTGACAAGACCATTGTCAAATAATAGTGAACACCATACCTTGTATAACCCATCTGTGGGGGGTTCTGCCCTTTGTTAAACCATCTTTGCATAATTAATTTATGTATGCTGCAATAAAACTTCAGCTTTTTTTAATTTAATTATTTTAAAGATAAAAGTTTGGGTTAAAGAGAAAACAAGAAGTGTGCACACATTTTGTGATATAATTCTTCAACGTTACGATCTTTTATATACACTGGGGATGTTGCCTTACATATTCACACTTTAGGTATAACATCAAAGATTGAAAAAAAAATGAAATACAGGCCTAAGAATCTCTTCAAATAAGCATTTTTCATGAAAATGACAACAGCTGGCAACGTAGAACCTGTTGTCAGCAGATCCATCTACCAGCAACTAGTACATGCATACTTGTAATATCACCTACCATTATTACACTTGCTATATAGAAAGAAATTTTGTCTTGACAACTTCTCTGGAGAAAAAATTCAGTGGAATGAGGTTGGGAGACTTTGGGGACATTTTCCAATATATCAGTTGCTCAGCTAACAAGGAACCAGTATACCTTAAATGTGGTGATGTCCTTTCTTGAGAAATTCAATGAAATGTATGACAGTAATATTTACACAGTAAAACTAAGCAGTTAATGGTAACTGGATTGATATTAATGTTGATAAGCTTGTTTCTGCAGCATCAAATGGTGACCCGGACCCGCTCACCGCATGTTCTAATTGACCTGATCCAACGTACGAAGGCAGCAGTGCGAGAATTAGACAATTTGAATTATCGCAAAATGAAGAAAATTCTTATGATAGAAGCATTTGAAAATGAGAGCAATGTGGGTGATGCAGATGGTGAGTACTGTAGAAGCATTGGGAAATGGAAGTATTGTGGGTGATGTGAGTAGTGCAGATGGTGAGTATTGTTGCTCAGTATTAAGGGTTGTCAGGCTGATGCAGTTGCATAACTGTAGGTGCCCTTACTATTGCGGATTGATGTAATCATCAATGTCAGAGACATTTCCTTTTTCATTTTTCTTCACTTTTAAAAGCCTTTTCCATGTTATGTCTCTCACATCTTTTTGTCTTGTATTTGTTTCACAGTTCACAGAATGTATTTTCTCATATTGAGTTGCCCAGACCAATTTGCTATGAAGGTCGTGGGCCTGAATATTGTATTATGCTGTGGTGTTAATGGCAAGCTGTATTCTCAGAAATGTAATAGTTTTGTGCAGTATATTTTTTGCACCTGTCAGCAAACCCTCAATGTTTACTGTACAGTTGGCATTGTTTGAAAAGTGTTAAGTACAGGATCTTCCGAAAAGAATGCTAACATTTAAATTACTGTAATTATGTTAATTATTACCTGAAAAGCTTGTAAGCTTTCATAACCACGCATGCAGCCACATGAGTAGAACACATCATAAGACATACTAAACACACAACATTAGAAACATAAGAAGAACGACTCCCATGTGGATGATCAATAACACACACGAATTTAAAATATGACGTATGAGATAATAGGTTTTAACAAATTTTAAATACATAACCTTTATTATTATATAAGGATGTATACAAATTTAATATTATTTGTGAATGGACATATAAAGGCAACCAGTGAAATAGTTGACGGATCGATACACCTGAAGATGGCAGCATACTGCCGAAACATGTAGTGTAGAAGTGGTAAATGGGATTGTATGCACTTGAAGACTGTTAATACAATTTACCCATTATGAATATGAATCATTGCAACAGGATGCTAAAATACAACATACCAATTAGATTGATGTAAATAAATACTTTTAACAGTAGCATTCTTAATTACCTTGGTTCTTTATATCCAACAGTTCTGCAGTTTTAGATTGCTATATGTAGCTACTCTCGGTGACAGAGGTAGAAAGCTGTGGTAGTGATGGGTGGATGTATGAATATTTCTTGCCTGTGAATTTCAAAGCAGTATCCACAGCCATTTAATACTCATGCTAACAAATTCAACAAATAATGCACAGCAGTTTGAAAGGTGTTTCAAAAGAGTGCTAAGTGGGACAGATTTTGCTTTCCAAGTTTCTGTACTACTTGAGTCCACGAAAACCCAGATTCTTTACAGTTTATGTTGGCTGATCTTGTCAACAGCTTTACCTGAAATCCAAAATTAAATTTTGAGAAAAACTTCTCAATAATAGTCATTGAATTTCAAAACACTTCTCACTAGTTTTGTGATTTTGGGAAACTAAACATTTTTATGTTCTGAAATGTGATGAGCCAGTTTTTAGAAAATGTGTTTAAGGAATTGTATGAATAAAACTTCTGGAATTCTGTGGTGGCAGTAATATGAAACATACCTAATACATGTCGAATACACAAGAATACACTTTGCCACGTTGATGAACAAAAACAAATACGTGAACTTCAAAGCCAAATTTAAGATAGAGTTAAAAATTTTTAATGTTCATACATCATTAGACATAACTTACTATCTCATAAAAATAATAGTTGAAAATATGTAGCAAAATGTGCCTAAAATTGTATTCCAATTATTTCATTTAAAGTAGTGTTCCTCAAACTTTGGTCTGCAGGCCACTGGCTGTCTTTGGCAGTCCATCAGATGGTCCATAGTATTATATAGTCCACGTAGTGTTATGTTATGTAACAAATGAAATAATTTAAATTAAAACAATTGTGATAAATACTTTTAAAAATACTTCAAACTGATGGATAGAAAAAGTCTTTTATGGCAGTGTTTTCTCTCCTGTTTGCAGAAAAAAGTGTAATTGCTTGCTCTTTATGGCAAAGGGGCGTTTTATGATAGATGAGTGGTCTGCATATGTGCTGACTGCCTGTGTAGTGGTATACAGTTGTTAGAAGTAGAAACACTGATGTAAAAATTCATATTTTAGTATTACACCTGTATCCAAAATGTCACGCTTCTGTTAGCTTCTGCCGCCAAGTAGTTCCTTAGAAACATTTTCACATGGTCCTGCTGTTTTGGAATTAATTCAGTCTTCACCACTTGCATCATATTTTAATGAGACCTTGCAGCCAGAGCTAAAAAATATCATCTTGTTGGTCCCCCCCCCCCTTTCTTAGTACTATGTTGTGTTGCAGACACCCCCGATGAGCAAACTGGAGGTGACAGCAGTAAAAGCAACAGCATCACCTCTGAACACTCTTTACATTCAGTGGGTGTGAGTGCATCATCACAGAGTAGCTCCACTAATAGTCTTCCACCTTCTGCTGATGGAAATGACACCAGTTATCCTCCCTCCATGCGCAATAGACACCAGGTACGTTCTCCAGAGTCTGGTTGAGTTATCTTCTCACTCAGCATGTCACTATGAATGCCAAGCAAAAATATTATGAAACAATTAAAATGGGCGTGAGTGTTTACAACTGTAACTTCTTCCTGTCCTGCTGTGAAGCATATTTGAAGACAGAAAGGAGTCAGTTTTAGCAGTTCTCATATAAAATATGGTAAGTATCTGCTACCCCTTTACAGTATTCAGCAATAAAGTAGATGGAGTCAGCACCACAGGCACAGAAATACCCCCTGTAGTGTTCATTCTTTGGTCACACACTAAATTTCTACACACATGCTGTCACAAGCGGCATGTTTCCATATAAGTTGAATGTGCTGTATGTATTATGAGTTTGTCATCAAAAGGCTCAGTTGTGTTCCTCTTATGATNCGCCGCTGATGACGCTGCTTCCGGCATCTGTTTTCGGTGTCTCTCTTCGTCTGATGCCTACCCTTTGACCTGTCCAGCAAGGGAGGCCCTGCCAGTAGCTACGCTACCGCTGGTATAGCTCTCAGGGTCCTTGGCATACTCAAACACCCTCACCACGATAAGGTGGAGGGGCAGTTGTGATATCATACAAAAATTTGTAATAGATACATGGTTGAGATAAGCCATTTTGAAATGTTTTGTACATTGTCTGTGTTCTGGGCTCTGTATTGTTGTAAGTTTATGTACTTCAACTACCACATGTAACAAAATTGTAAAGATATAATGGGCACAGAGATCTGTTTTGGAGATATGTTAAATTGTTTGGTAGGCCATGTAGCTACTCTGGTTATGCAAAAATTTGCCATTAATATCAGAAAACGGTGACCATTATTTAGGATTCCAGTCTATCCTTGCACAGTCCTATGACTGTCCAAACTGTTAGCCTATTAAGTGTGTAACAATAGAAAACAGTATAACATTCTGAAGCTGAATATTCTCTATATTCAAACCCCATGTAGTTTGGGAGAAAATATCATCTGGAAAGGAATGTTATGCAAAAAATTTATCAACAGTTTGTGTGAGAGAATATTCTACATAAATGCTGGTCTAGGCACTTATGAAGAAAGATCCAAGTAAGAGAAAAATATGTGCCAAAATTGATATTAATATTTACCAGAAGAAGGATATCTGGCAACTGCAGAGTGACAGAAGACACAGTAAGTCCCCACATTTAAGGAATGTTCCATGTAATTCATGCTACACAAAAGTTTCTACAAAAATTAGTATAGAACTTATAGTTCCCTGCCAGTCACAGTGGCTGCACCAAGTAAGGCATGAAATTTCTTTGCCTGCTTGAACGGTGGGATCGTGGGTTCAAATCCCACTCAAGGCATGGATGTTTATTTGCATTTATTCCGTGTTTGTGTGTAGGTAGTGGCATTGTGTCATGCTGATACCCTATCCAAGGAGACCTACCGCCTGTCTAAGATTAAGAAACTGAAATGAAATGAAGCATTTCACAGATAACCTATGCTCCAAAGTTGGAGCAACAGGAATATATATATATATAGTTAGTTAGTTAGTTATTGGAGAGGGTGGGTTTCCCCATGCACTTAGACCAGTATTGGTCCATTGTGCTTCCCTCTATGGTATTCTACCAGTCTCTATATCCTACCGATAAATGGTGCGTACCATCAGTCCCGCCGAGCAAGCGAGTTCGGCCACTTGCTTAGCGGTGTCTGTAATGCATCCCCCATCTATCAGAGGCCTTAGAGACTATTGTTGGGTGGGAAATGTCCTGGAATTTGGCTCAGTGATCTCCTTAGGAGATATGAGGTTCTTTTACGTGCCGTAAAGTTACGACACGGGACACACAGCTTAAAGTCCCTCCCGGAGGACTTGTTCCCTGAATTTTTCCGCTCTTAAAAATTTGACGACCTCCACCGGGTATTTGAACCCACGTACCACGAGTTATGAGGTGGGAATGTTACCTCTAGACTACAGAGGCCGCTTATATATATGGGTCCCTGTGTATGCGTGTATTTTAGAATACAGACATGACAGTTGTCAGCCATGTACTTATGTTGTGTTGTATCAGGCCAGTAACTCAAATGCCATCCAGGACCATGGAGCCAATAACTTTGCAACCATCCGAACAACATCCATCGTGACAAAGCAGCAGAAAGAACACATGCAAGAAGAGATGCATGAGCAGATGACAGGCTACAAAAGGATGAGACGTGAGCATCAGGCAGCACTTCTCAAGGTATGTGTTCTGAATAAAACATAACAGATCTTTTAAATGCATAGGATTTTAAGGTATATTGTGGGTTATAAAACACAGTATATCTGAGGCACTTTCACTTCTTAATGTAAGTGCATTTGATTTACATGATTTCACTTTCATGTTATTGTCACATTATTTTACATAATTTCAGTTCTGATTTTAACATGATTATGCAGTCATTAAGAGTTAAATTGGGATAATCTGAACAATATAAGACATGAATCCAGCAGGCATTTCAGGAACAAAAAGAGGGAATACCTGAAAAACAAAATTGATGAACTTGCAATGAACGGTAAGAAAAAGTTCATTAGAGACCTGTATAGAGGAATAAATGACTTTAAGAGGGGTTTCCAGCCTAGCAGTAACTTAGTGAAGGATGAGAATGGTGATCTGCTTGCAGATTCTCTCAACATTTTGAATAGGTGGAGGAACTACTTCTCTAAGTTATTGAATGTACATAGGGTCAGTCCTGTTAGGCAGACAGGAATCCATACAGCTGAGCCATTAGTACCTGATCCTAGCCCTTTTGAGGTTGAAAGTGCTATTGCAAAATTGCAATGGTATAAATCACCAGGTAGTGATCAAATTCCAGCAATACTTATTCAAGCAGGAGGTGAAATATTACATTCTAAGAGTCACAATCTAATTAATTCTATTTGGCATAAGGAAAAATTGCCTGATTAGTGGAAGGA